TGCTCACATGTATTACAGTCCTTTGGGCGTGGTAGAGGAGGGCACCTGGTCCCTGCAGAAGTTTACCAGAAGTTCAGTCAAAAGCTTCAGAAGAGAAAAATGGGTGAAAAATCAAAGAGGAAAATACAAGAACTTATTTCATAAGGTGCGACCTGCTTCCTCCCCATTTGGCAATGCTGAGTATCCCTCTAACAAAGAGCAGAGTGGATATAAATCATGTCCTGACAAGTGAGGACAAAACTGACTTAATTGATCTGAAGGGAACACTCTCTAATCTAGCATTATTCCAGACAAAAGCATTCCATAACAAAGTTTTCGACTTGCAGTTGCGTGGGCTGTCACTCCAAGTCATGCTTATGAAAAATATAGCATTCTTACATACTGTATACTTTAAAAAATAAATCTGTCTCAATCTTTAAAATTCTTTTGTAATTTTTTTAAAAGATATTTAAAATACTGTTCCTAAATTTCTGTGAACCATTTGGAAAAAAAGGAAAATAGCAGAATAGGTATTATGGCTTTACGTTTTATTTTATCTTATGCCAGTTATCTACCTGTGGAGTCCTGTAGCTTAGAGGTTAGAGCACTCGCTTCGCAAGCGAGGAGACCTGGGTTCGATTCCTGGGTGGGATGTATTGTTGGGCAAGTTTCCTTACTCCACACGCCTCTGTTTACCTAGCAGTAAGTAGGAACCTGGTTGTTAGTTGATTGGCGGATTGCTTTTCTGGGGGTAATAATTCCTTAAAAGAAATAATAATAATAGTTCGGTCCTCAATCCACGACTGTTTGTGGGGCACAGCTGTGTGCAATTGGCTGCCACATTTCGCCCACAAAATATACAGTCAATTCAATTTACAGTATATTCTGTGAAACACTTTGCAACGTCTCAAAGATGTGATAAGGCGCTATATCAAATACAAGGATTATTATTAATTTTTATTACCTGCACAATTTACATTGAAGTCAACATCTTTCCAGGATGCATTGACCCGACTCCACAGAGTCATTCCAGGTTGCCATAAAATTATCTTTAACCCTCCCATGTGGATTGGTGCATGCATGCATTTGGCCTCTTAAGTCTCTCCAAGTATGGGATACCGCTGTGTGATATATCTGTGACTTCATGCATTCAAACGCATATTTATCAACATAAAGCCTCATAACTGTCAGCTCCACTTTGCCATCTTGGCTTCTGGTCCCACAGCAGCACACAATATAAAAAGCAAACTGAAAAACGTCCCAAAGCAATGTTATTGACTTCGGGTATAAAGTACAATGTCAAAGCATTTCATATATTAACTTATTTCTTCCCCACGAGACACGACTTGTTTACTCACAATCCATGTAAAGGGTTCAGCTTTGCTCATGTATTGAAACGATTATCTTAGGTTCCTAGTAATTTTGCTGTAGATTGCTGATGTTTGGGCAATCGGAGATTATTAGGATATCTGTAAGTGAATCACAAGTCATTAATTCAACAAAGGTGCTCAGAGAATGCCATATTCCATAGGAGCTATGACTGAGCCGTATATGATCAACAGATGCATTGTTGGCAGAGATTCACCTACAGGTATCCATTATTCATTCCTAATAAATACCAGATAGTAACTGGTTTTACCATCATTACTGTGAGACCCTTCTTTGATGTAGAGGCTTTTGATGTTTAAAGTTGAAAGCAGTGGTGCCTGATGTAGGATAAAGGGTATTAGCCATGATACAATAAAATGGTTGAAAATATATTGGAATATGTGACCTGAAGTATTATGAGGTCTTGCCTCCTATTCGCCTAGAAACTTGCTGTGGGAGAATTTGCAGCACATTATTCCCTGCTGGGGGAATTACCCCACCCCATTTCTCTTGTCTCAGATCAGTTTGTGCTTCAAAATGTTATCAATTTGAACTGTAAATGAATTAAATTATGAATTAAATGTGTAACTAAACCATCTGACTAACCCACATCAGAGAACAGGGTTGGACAGTAAATCAGGCCACTCTATGTATACTGCAATTTAACAGAATTGATGCATTGTACCTTGCAGTAGGGGACTGATACATATGCTTGTACATTGCGGTGGATGGGGATGTAATACTCATACATTGCAGTGGGGTATCCGATACATGGACATTGCAATGGAGCACCATTTCATGAAAGTTCAGTGCGAGAACCAATGCATGTGTGGTGTAGTGGGGGTTGGGTGTGATGTATGAATGCTGCAGTGGAGGACCGATGCATGTACATTAAGGTGGAGAACTAATGCATGAACTTTGCAGTGGGGGAACCAATGCATGCATATTGAACTGATGAGTCAATACAGCACGTGAAGCTGATGCACCAATGAATATACATTACACTGGGGGCTGATCCACATTCATCCGTGTACCTTGACATTATAAGTCAGATTATTGGGACAGCAAAGAGGCAAATGTTTTTAACCTTTCTTGTTTGAGATCATAGAGGCGTTAGATCTTTAACGCCCCTTTTTTATTACAAATTTGCCTGCAGTGCCAAGTTTGGAAACTGTCATTGAAAACTGGCCAAATGTCCCTATGCCAAAACCCCTCTTGGAGCTGGACCTCTCTCTGTTCCCTTTGTTTTCAAACCAAAAAGGGTCAGCGATGGACAAAAAGGGCATGCTAACTTTCCATACTCACAAAACTGTTAATTGATTTTCTTCGTTGCTCCTAAATTAAAGGTTGTGGAACTGGAAAAAAAGGCTAGCAGCAAAGTTTCTGGATTTTCAGGTGCACCTCCTGCTTTTTGCCACTGCTATTTCAGTAGCAGTGAAAGGTAATGATGTGCAAGCCTGACTTAGCTTGTAGCACTTCTACCTATGATTAGAAAATTCTGGGTTTAAGCTCCACTTCAGGACTTCAAACTCATTTAGTCTGGACTGGCATTCCAATGCCGTGCTGGAGTTGTGCTTTATTATTGGATTTTCTTCAGATGAGACGGATGATCAAGGTCTCATCTGCCTGTTCCGGTGGACTTTAAATCTCTCTTGGTACTACTTGAAAGGGGTAGTCTCACTGTGTCCTAGTCACCAATTCCCCAGATACAATTGATTAAAATTGATGGAACATTGTTGTGTGCAAATTGGCTGCCCCTTTTGCCTGTAAAATACAAGAGTCACTACACTTTACAATATAACCTTGAAGAACTTCGAAAAGTCTTCTGACATGAAAGGCAGTGTATCAAATGCAAGAAGTTTTTTATGATTAAGTAAAACTTTTTCTAAAGACTTTGCACATGTGATGTGTTTGATGTCACTGTCATTGTACCCACTACACATGGGTGGAATGTATCGCACTGGAAGCTCGATTGTGGGCACTTTCACACTGACATTGTTGTCCATGTTCATGGCAATCGATGGATGCCAGGAGCATCCAGGACGGCTGTATGAGGAGATGGAAGGGAAGCCAAAAGTCCTCAACTAGATAATGAGTGGTACCCATTGAGTGGATGAAGACCCAACAGATAGAAACCCAAAACCCCAGTGTGCTGCTGCTGAGATTGTGGCCAAGAAGGTCACAAGAGATCAGATTGACCCAGGAAAGAAGGCAAGATGACCACTAAGTGAGAACAATCCTAAGCAGAAGCAAGCTGGGCAAGACAGATGATGTCTGGACTAGGAAAGCCAAGAGATCTGCATCTGAAGGGTTACGGTGTGATCACTCATGCTCAATCGTCTATCAAGGGAGCTGGATGGTAGACCTTATACACGGGCCATGGGTTAGGGAAAGACGCTAAAAGTTGAGGGAAAGGAAAATAACGATCAGGTAGGAGGCATAGGTGAGTTCAACTCCAGAATAGCTGGCGTGACTGCAAGCGGCAGACGTGAATCGACACCCATACATAGAGACCCAATTGACAGGAGAGATCGAACCACACGGGAAGTAGTCAAGTGGCTCAGTGAAACTTTGGAGGGGGTTCTGTATCAGCAAAGGCAGTTGCAATGGAGATGGGTCATCTTCTATTTAGTGAGCCCAAAGGGCACTCAGGTGCATGCCATCCAGATGTTCTATAAACTGGCCCACAAGCTGGAAGGACTGGTTGCAAAAGGGGCTGAAGGGTATCGGGGGTGGGGGAGAGAGGAGGAGGAATATAACACTTAGTCAAGGGAAAGGCCCAATTGGAGCTTGGATGGAGTGGCCATAAAGAGAATTGGAGCAGGTCAGGTGCATGGGGAGGATATCAGTGAAGCACTGGAGGCCAAGGGAGCCCAGGAGAATGTTGGAAATACAGGACGTAGATCGACCCTCCAGCATAGTGGCCCCCATTAGCCTGGAACAGCGCCACCATAATGGGATAATCTCCTACAAAAGGAAAGCCAGTGGATGATCCTTGGAAAGAATCTGGAGGGATATAAAAGGCTTTTCCATGGCCAGGATTGTTGAGTTTGTAGAAGAGCTTACAGGTAAGAGAGCTGATTTGCCTTATTATGAAAACCCTCTACACATGGTTTACCTGATCTATTCAAGTAGGAGCTGATAAAGTTAACTTGTTGGTTCACCAATTATGGCTCATATTGACTGCTTCTTTCAAGACACTCCCATGCCCACTTCAATACTGTTGTGTACAGAGCCATCCCATTGATCCTGGTACAGAATATGAAGTACATGATATGATGCAATTGATATATGTAGTGTACTAGGCTATCCTGATGACACACAAGCAATGTAGAAAGCAATTAATGAATATGGAAAACCAGGCTAATCCAATGATGCATGTACATAGCATTGACAATTGTGAAGCAAAAATGATGTCTTGAAACTTCAAGCACACAGAATGAAACAGGTCTTTTCTCACCAATCAATCTTAATCACACATTGATCCTTTGGTGAAATTATTTGAGTTTAAAATTGATTTGGAGATCTGACTTGGAGTTGGGGAGGGCAGTAAGGGGTGTGTAAAGGAATGACAAAATTATTCGCGGGTTCTGCTGTGATTGTGGCTGACGACGTAAAAAGAGAGAGAAGCAGAGAGAGTGAGAGAAGAGACATTAACACTGTAAAGATATTTACTGAAGTCACAACACAGGGGAGATTGGCACTGAGCAGTATTGACAGTGCAGTACAACAGCTGGTGAATAATTCACAATACATTACATAAGATTCACTAGTGGTAAAGCCCAACCCTGAATATCTATGAAGGGTTGAACCTTCCAGTGTGTTAACTCATTGTGCATTGCACCTCTAGCACAAAAAAACTTTGTTTGTGTTGAAAATATGATTTAACACTATCCGTAGCAGTAAGTGTTGGCCTGTAAACGTTGCTGAGGTGTGATATGCTGCACAATATTCCACCCCCTTTCTGTTCATATTTCAGGGATTCGGTGGTATTGTTTACATATTACCTTTTTTTTAGAAAAAAACAGACATTCAGATCAAGACGACTAACTACAATCAGTGTTGTAGAACCGTTATTTAACAAATTTTGTCTACAAATCTACCAACTACAGCAATGCACTAAATCTCAGCTGTCTTCCCCAGCATTGCTTTTCTGTAAGAACTGAATTAGGACATTTACTAAGAGCGGTGGCTCAAGCATGCACAAGTGCACCGATCTCCTGTCGAACATTCCTGTAAAACTGTGCTGTGAAACTGCAAGGTGGCTTCCTGTGCTGTTTTTATAAATATATAAATTAAAACATGCTTTACTCTTAAAACTACCTGTACACACAAAACTAGAGCAACATCTCTTCCTCAACTCCACTATCTGCACCTTAATTAATATATTTCCAAATCTAACACTGTGCAGAAGAGTAAAACTTTTAATATAATATTTTATATATTCTTACCTTTTGAAAAGGAACAAAAATTCCCGATATATACATCTTCATACCATCAATATACACACATGTACCATTGTCTATGTGAATGTTACAAATAAAAAGTTTCGTGCAATTGCACCTCCTGAAAAATAAATCAAAGTCTTGGCAGGAGGGTCTGGGTGTCTGAGTACAGACTGTAATACCTTAAGATTTCAAATTCCACCACTCAGGTAAGGGATGAAAGGATGTGGTTGGTTCCAAATGTCAACTCCATCTTCCTGTCAGTAGTAGGTATGCTTGGTGAGCATAAGGCTAAGATGATATGATATGTGTGCTCTTGGTTTATAAGCACTCCCTGGGAGAGGGAACAGAGAATGGAGGCATAGGAAATGGGAGGGGGGAGGGGGTTACAGCTACAAGGGAAGGTGATCCCTTGCATCCAAGAAAAACCTTGTTTTCTTCAACAGCAAGTGCCACAGTATCACACATTATCTCTATCACTCCCATCCATCCATTTTAGGCCAAAATAGAGACTCTTTCCCCCCCTCCCCGAATCTACTGAGAAGCTACAAAAATGGCAGGTGCGTTTCCAGCCTCAAGTTAATTAGCAGCCAACAAAATCGGAACAGTTATTTTTTTTGTCACAAATCCACATAAAGACGTTCAAAATACGGTCACGTCAATACAGGTTGAAAATTACGTCTTGGATCATGTTCTTTGAAAAAACAGCTCCAGAGTGCTCCTCCCTATAAACCTACAGGACTCTAGCTCTATGTAGTTAGTTTTGTATTGCACAGATACCAAGCTGCTCTCAAGTCATCCTCGTTGTATCATCATTGGTCTCGGCACATAGGAAGGTTCACAAAGGTGAAAACATTGAACTCCATCATGATGGAGAAGGATAAGAAGATGGCGTAGAGGAAAAAGGACACACACCCAAGCTTCCTATCCAGTTTCCATTTATTCAAATGAACACCAAGTACCTGAAAGGAAACAACGGCAGAAACTTTTAGTGTTTGTAATGGAACCTCGGTTTCAGTTTAAGTGGGTGGCAGAGGGTAAAGCCACTGCCCAGTCATACAACCCGTAACATCCCAGTTCATTTCCTGTTTAGTGTTGAGTTAACTGATCCCAAACAGGTTAGCAGGTGAAGTGCTGTAATTCTTTTCCGCACCCTGAGTTTTTTTTTGAGGGTGTGGGGGGTGGTGGGGGGAACAGAAAATAAATCAGCCAGATTTCTCCTGATCACTATCAAGTAACTACTGTTGGAAGATGCCTGTGTGTGGATAATAATCCTAATAATAATCCTTGCATTTGATATAGCGCTTTTCACGTCGGGAGGACGTCCCAAAGCGCTTCACAGAACACACTGTAAAGTGAATTGACTGTATATTTGTGGGCGAACGCGGCAGCCAATTGCGCACAGCAATGTCCCACAAACAGTCGTAGATTGAAATGACCCAATTTTATTTTTTTTGGTTTTGGAGGGATTATTATTAGGCTCTGTGGAGTAAGGAAACTTGCCCAAGGTTTCGCTCGGCCTGGAATTGAACTCGGGTCTCTCACTTGCAAAGCGAGTGCTCTAACCACTGAGCTACAGGACTCCACTCTACAGGATGTTGGGTGAGGACAAAATTGGGCTTGGCTGTGAAACCCTCCACCATCAAAAGCCCACTGTCCAGAATGGCAGACTGACACCCGTACAGAACATTTCTAAGAACCAGCCCCTTTAGGAAGTGAAAGGAAAATATTTGGGTGTGGGGAAGGGAGATGTTCGGGATTGCAGTTTTGCCACTGCAATAGCATTAAAACCAATATGCCTAGGAATTTCAAACCCTGATTTAATCATAGCACTGATATTGTCACATGCTCCATACAACTACAAACACACTCCTAGGGTAGTTCAGTGGCAATTAGGGATTTGTGAAGGGACATTCAGGGCAGATGCACAGCTAGCTCCTCACACTTTTACTTTCTGCCAATTCTATATTGCCCTCTCCTCCTCCTCTTCTGAAAGCATTTGATTATTCTTTCCTCCTGTGAGGTATGGTTCCATACAGGTATTTTGCCCAAACACCGATCATGTATAACCCTCAACAATGAATGGTTGGCCGTTGATTTGACTACTGGACCATATCAGCCGGGCCTGATCCTGTCCTCACCTGAGGTCCCCATGTGCACACCTTCTCGCAGGGCCATCTGGATGGAGTCAGGAGCAGGAAACCTGTCTGATTTTCCCTCTCCATAAACCAGAGTTAGAAGACCAATTGCTGTGATTTATCTACTGCCTCAGTTTAGATCAGCTAACTCAACACACACCAGGATTCGAAAGTGGAAACCTTCCAGTCTTTAGGGGCTGGTGCTGCACAGCGTGGTATTTTTAATAACAATAATTATCATAATCTTTGTAATAATTAGCTGATAAAACATCAAAACATCTCAAAGCGTTTTACATGGAATTGCTGTTGTGTAATGATTGTGCATTTGTAGGCGAATGCAGCAGCCAATTTGCAATCTTCCACAATGTGTAATGTCAGCCATAAATTGAATAACTATTTTATCTGATGGCAAGGAGGATAAGCGAAACTCCTTTCTTTTTGAATATTATCATGCCATCTTTAACTGCCATCTGATCAGATGGAATGGATTTTGGTTTCATGTCTCATGGCACTTCTGACAATGCTGCACTCCCCCAGTGTTGCATTGGAGGGTCAACCTGGACCATGGGTCCAAGTCCCGAGTTGGGATTTGAACCCGAAATCTTCTGACCCAGAGGAGAGAGAGCTATTCACTGAGACAGGCTGACACTGTGAAACCATCGGAGAACCCGGACACATTTACATGTTTATTCAAATAACATACACCTTCCTTCGAGGAAGTGAAGCAAAATAAACTCATGCACTTCTATTTCGGTAACAATAGGGAAACTTCTCGAATAGGCAAATTGTAAGGTAAAATTATTGCCAACTGGTCCTGTGCCAGAAGATGTTGATAAGACAAAGAACTGTTAGCACTGAAGGGGTAAGTGAACCTGTGGGGAAAAGACAGTTTTACTCCAAAATTCAATACTTACTGTGAGAAAAACGGAAGCTAACAGCATTCCCACTGAATATATAAGCCCCTGGCTGTTCAGTGATATCTGCAATGCAGAGAACAAACATGAAAATATTAACATTCATATATAGAAACTTTCACAGCAATTAAAACAAACAAATCTCCCGAGTGAAAGTGGATGATTCCTGATTCGTGAAATTGGGAGTCTATGAAAATGCAATCTAAGAGATTTCTTAAATTGAATCTGAATTACCCTGATGTGCTGACTTGTGGACCCCTCTCTCTCTAAACCCAGGTTCAAATTGGAAGTCCTGAAACTGGACTTCAATTTCCAGCTCACAATATTGCAGTATTTTGTCTTTTCAACAATATTCAAAAAAAAAGTATTTTGTTAGTTGGACCCTGGCTTTACACTGAGTTATTTTGTTCCGTTAAAAAGTTCCCTAACGTTGCATGAGGACAGGTTGAAGGGAGGATGTGTCTCTACGCTCCCTATAGCATAGTTGAATGGCTTGCTGAGAGTTGCTCTCTGAAGATTTTCACTGGAGCAAGTTGCTGGAGGGCAACAGGTGCTTGTGGTGCAACCACTGCGTCTTGAGAAAAGGAGAAACTGGAAAGGGACAATGTGCGGCAAAAGGAAAAAAAAAATCAGTTGTGTTGAACAGCGCATGAAAGCTCATATACCAAGTTTGTTGAAAAGATCCTTGTTCGCATGGTAAGCTGTTTAACAAGACTCAACATGTGACCAGCTTTATATATAATCGGGTTTGAGATCCACTGCTGCTAAAGTGATAATATCGCTATAAATTAGTTACTTGTCGACTGAATTGCGTCCGTAACAACATGTTGTCAGTAGCAATCATTCCCAGATCATGATACAGTTGAAATGCAGAGGAAAGCTCCCTTTAGTCTGGCTCAACAATAAGCCATAAACCCAAACTCAGAACAACTTCCCCATGAGATACAGGTATCCTCATTCAGTCAAGTTGCCAACTACATGCCAATTGTTGACAAAGGCATTTGAAACAGGCCAATTACTAAATCGTTTTTCTAATGTTTTATTGTGTAAAACCAATACATCATGTAAATGTTTCTGTAAATGATATAGCAGTGCAAATCCCTGCAGTTGTGGATTCTAGACTCATGCTTTCTGAGTGTATGTTGATTGGTGTTGGTGGGCATGGTGTCTTTGCTTGTGGACAGGAACTATTTTTGCTACTTTTCTAATGGAATTTCAAATCAAACAAGTGGTGGAAAGATTTGCTATTTTCAGTATTAAGCCCTCAAATTGTAGGCAGATCTTTGCTTCTGGCTCATGTCCAGCAGGCACTCTATTGAGTGTTCAAAGTACATCTCATGTAGGATATTTTGCTCTAGCAGAGAGAAGTTTTTAATTCTTTCAGCGGGGGTTGGATTCATTTCCCAGACATGAAAGGATTGTAAATGAGCTAATCCATTGCGTCAGCTAATCTCAAGAATTTATTGTAGTTAATAAAGGTGAAACCATACCTTAGTAAACCATACAAAATGCTCGTGGATGGGAACTATTTTGGCTTACTTTTTGAATAAGATTTCAAATGCAACAAGTAATGAAAAGATTGCTATTTTTTGTGCTTCTGGATCACATGTCCAGCAGGAGCTGCATTGAGATTGCTCATTACACATTTCAGGCAAAGGTCAACTTTGTTTCGAGTTAGCTTATCCCATCCAGGGCAGCAGTTGGGATGCAACAATTGGCCCCTGATTTGGGGAGCAGAAAATCAGACACATTCCCACTCCTGATCACCATTCACAAAGCTCTTCACTTTCATGACCATTTCACCCTCCTTCCGGAGGAAGAGAAGGAAACACAGAGGTCTTATACAATAAGCAAATAAGGTGCATTTGTTGGTGAGGCCTCAGTCATGACATCAAGTCTGCTGTTCAGCCTATTGTTTAAATAATGGTGACCTAAGTGAGGCAATGGGAGGTGACAACGACCCATGGAATTGTACCTCATCAGAAGGAAAAGGAGTCAAATTACCTACCAAGCAAGCCAGCGGGAGAGCTTTGGTGATGTTTTGTACTACACACTTGTCTAGAAAAGAAAAGGAAGACTTACATATGATCCGTAATCCACTGCAAGCGTCTGTATGGTCCAGGGAAGACCCAGTCCCACCAAGATGTCAAAGACGTTGCTCCCAATGGAGTTTGAGACTGCCATGTTTCCCAACCCTTTGGATACCAGAAATAGTCAATCAATACCAATAACACCAACATTTGTATTACGCAGGCAAAATGAGTAGTTAGAAGAAAGAATGAGAGCAAGGATGATGGCCCAATAGCGGCTAAGCAACTGATAATACAACACAAAAATTTACAATACAAATTAACATTTATATAGCGCCTTTCTCATCAGGAGGATATCCCAAGGCATCCAACAATTCTACTCGCTCTATATCACCCTACAGAAATATGTTTTCTGCTAAACCTAGTCAGTTTTCTTATAATGACACAGAAAGCGGTAACGTGCGGGCTAATGTAAATGATGACCAACAATTTTCATTCACCTCTTCATTTATTGGCTACTCTTCAGAGAAAGAAACCCAGAGTTCTTATACGGTAAGCAAGTAAGAAATGTTATAGTACCCTATCACATCAAAAACCTCAACACTGCACAAGTAATTACTGACAGGCGTTTTTTGCAGGTGAATGCTCTCTCTACCTGTACCCTCAAAGGTAATTGAAGTAGAAGTCCAGAATATCTCTATAACCTGTTTAACTTTGATATCTTATTTTGCTATTACATCTCCATAATCCCAGCAGTTGAGAATTCATCATTTGATCATCTCATCTGTATTTATTCATATAACTCAAAACATGTTCTTAATCAGTGATTCATCTCACTCTTATTTGAAGGTGAAATCAACACATCTTAAATCACTTTCAATGGGAGTTTCTTCACTAGTCTACAGGGGGAACATTTCCTTCGAATTTTACATTTTATTTGATGTGTACAGTATTTGTTTTTCATTCATGTTTTCATGTTTTGTCTTCACTACTTGCCACTGCATCTCCATTCCTTCCATCATTTAAAAGTAACCAGATCATTTCTCATCTCGATCTTACTTTCTCCAATGAAAAAAATTAGTTCTGCGTGTCTCTCCACATAACTCAGAGCATTAAATCCCCGGAATTATCTTTCTCAGGCTTTTCTGAATTCTCCCCACTAGGTTCTTTTGAGGTAGGATGCACAACGTTGCACACCATCAGATGAAATTTGCAGTCCATTTAACACATTGAATCTGAGTGAGCTGCTAACTGGAGTCAAAGATTACACTAGGCGTTCAATCTTCTGGCGTCTTTTTGTGGGACACTTCTTTGCACAATTGGCTGCCATGTTTCACCCACAAAATACAGTCAATTCACTTTACAGTATATCCTGTGAAGCACTTTGAGACGTCTCAACAACATAAGGTGCTATGTCAATTGCAAGAATTGTTATTATATTATTATTCTGTGACTTCACTGTTGAGAAGAGCACTGGGGCTTATCTCCAGCACATCCAGTCACACAGATTGTGAGCTTCACCCAAGTATTCCAATTTAGGCCTCATCAGTGTGTTACCCAAGGCAAACATAACTTGCTTTGTCTTACAGTCAAAAACGCCCTTGAGATTCATCTTAGTCGGTTAATAGCTTTGTTGGGAACAGCTTCACACTGACCAATACCTCCAATTAATTGACAACAATCACATCACCTCTTTACCGCCTTTAAATTGACCCAAATGCCTTCTTCCTGTTGTGCATACATGCACACATTTCAGGTTTTCCATTTCTGCCATTCCATTTTTTCTAATTTGCTTCAGTGCCACAAAGTGTTGCACCACAAAAGGAAGTTACTTTGCTACTTAAAAATACAATGGCAAGGTCTCGAATAATAATCTTGACAAAGGAAAAAAAAGGGGCACACACTCAGAAATAGCCTATTCAGACTGAATTACCTTTACATAGTGGTAAACCCATTGAATGGGCTACCCCGGGGAATCAGTGAAAGTAAATTCATGAGGGATTATGATGACTTCCTGGCAAAGAAACTGACTGAGGCATAGGAGCAACGCAAGACTTCTTTTTACTTATGGTCTCTTATGGTTCTGTACGTTCTTATAACTTGGTTATTATTGCTGACTGCTGTTATGCTCTTACCTTGTCTAGCAACGATGAGGCTGGCCATGCAGTCCGGTATACTAGTTCCAGCGGCCAGGAAAGTAATTCCCATGATTACATCTGGAATTCCCAGTGTGTACCCGATCACTGTCACCTAGGACAATAGCACATTGTTAGAGGCAGTACCCAAAATTCTGAAGATCTATGTATTGGGTTTCTCAACCTCAATTAACTCATTAGCGATGTGTCTCAATCTCCACTGTTGAATCACCATTTATCGATACTGGGTTGCATGTTTTACACACTTCGTGATAAGGATGATCCTCAGTATTTGAAGGGTGAGCTGTGAGGAATGACTAGATAAGCTGGCATCCTTCAGCCATTGAAATAAAATACTGAGAGGACCTTATAGATTGGTAAATAAGAGCGAAATAGTATAGACAAAGTAAACCAAGAACAATGCTTTCAGATTTGCCGAGGCAGCAGGACGGGAGGGCAATGTTCACGGTTGTGAACAGCGATTTCAGGACAGAGATCAGGAAGCATTTCTTCACACAGAACATAGTAAACGGCTGGAACAGGTTACAAGGAAGGTTGATCGTGAGGCCAGTACAGTGCAAAGTGGCTGAAATATTTGCCTACACAGTCACTACATTTGACAATTATTTGTGAGGCACTTTGAGATATTCTGACGTGATAAAATTCTACAAAAGTTGTTGTTTAATTCATTTAAATCAGAACCTTGTGAACACTAACAATGATTTATTTTCATTTCCAGTGAACAAACTGCACATTCCAGGATTTAAAATTCCACCATCACTCTCTAAAACATGCCTAGAGGTTTGTGAACACAGATCTGTGGCTCTGCAGTTTTTAAGTTGAAGCTCTCAGTAATCAAACAGAGAAGTGCTTGTTTGTCTCTTTTTGCTGCCTTGATCAGTTGATTTCTTGATGCAACACATGGAAAAATCACTTCAGGCATAAATTCCTATAATTTCACAAGATCACTTTGGTTGGTGAAGGCCCTTCTAACCATTTAATCTCATCCCTCCAGCAAACTAACCCTACCATCTTCAGCATCAAGCAGTTTCCTAAAGGAACACAGGGACCTCAATTGCCCTTCTTGGTAACCTCTTCCAGCTATCGATTATCCTCTGTGTAAAGAAATACTTCCTATAACACCAATGATAATATTTTGTTAACTATCAATTAAGTTGCTTTACTGTACAACGTAATCCTTTGGACAGCAGAAACCATTTCATATGTACTTAAACTAGAGAGGATGGATGGTGCACAAAACCTTTTACTAAGGAATTGATCCGATGATGGGTTTGGCCTGTAGAAAGCAATACTGAAATGCTATTCTGCAACAGCAAACGCAATACTTGACTGAACCTGACATTTTAACAATAATCTTTGCCTTTGATATAAAGCCTATAACATCACAATGTCTCAAAGTACTCCACAGGGAAATGTAAGTGCAGTGAGTGTATTTGTAGGGAAACACAGCAGCTAAATTGTGTGTAACAGTGTCCCACAAACAGCCATGATGTGAATGACAAATTTAATCTGGATGCTTGTTGGCCTGGAAAACTCCCTTCTCTTTTTTAATAACGTCACAGGGCTTTAACCTGAACAGGCAGATAGTACCTTGATTTAACGTCCCATCCAATGGACAGCACGTCTAACAAAGCAACTTTCCTACAGTGTTGCACTCGAGTGCCAACCTAGACTATAAGCACAAAGACCCTATGGGGGGCTTGAACCAACAACCTCCTTCTCCAGCGTACTAACAACTGAGCCAGGCTGATGCCTATTTTACAGTCCACCCAACTTCTCTTATGATAGCTCCCTCTGCTTGCAGGACGAGAGCAAAGATGCATACAAATCTCCAGGAGGTACAGTTGTTTGATGAGGGATTCACATATAAATTGACCTACGTCCTCCAAGCAGACAAATGAAGGACACTGCATTGTTCACAATTTTACACTATTTAACCCTCATCCTGATTCATATCCCCTTTTATTCTCTGGTCTGAACTGCTCACCTTCTCTGTACAAAAAAGATAAATTACAGTGATAATATTTCACCCTATTTATGCCTTTTCTTCACTTTTTTTGGTTATTTTGTCCATTCTCTCTATAATTGCTAAGCTGTGTCACACTCTCTTTGGGGAATTCTGTGTAGCTGATCCTTGAATTGGGACATACCGCTCCCATCCATTTCTTCACTAGAGAATTACTCCCGTTTCCTCCATACACTTGCATCATATTACAAAAACACAAGCTACCACTCCTGCAGTGAGATACAGGATCAAGCTCTTTAGGCAGTTCCTCAATGTTGTAAATGGTTATGTATGCTCAGATGTATATGTATATGTACGCGGATGACACCCAACACTATTTTTCTGCCTCCACCCTCAACTCCAGGACCACTGCTGTCCTGACAGACTACCTGTTGGATATCAAGTCCTGGATGAGGGCAAATTTCCTACAGTTGAATGTGAACAAGTCTCAGGCCCTCCTGATTAGCTCGCGCCAGCGCCTCTGCACCTCAGGCTCTGGCAGCATCAACCTCCATGGTTGGACACTTCAACTCACTAAGCCAGTCAGGAACCTCGGTGTCTTGTCCGATCCTCAACTGTCTTTTCTTCCCCACCTCCAAGCCATGACCCGCTCTGCCTTCCCTCACCTCTGTAACATCGCCCGACTCCGCCACTACCTCACCCCTCAGGCCGCTGAAACTCTTGTTTATGCCTTCATCACCTCCAGGCTCGACTATGCAAATGCCCTGCTTGTCGGCCTTCCCAACTCCTCCCTCCACAGGCTGAAGATAATCCAGAACTCTGCAGTTCGTGTCCTCTCCCGCACCAAACTCCCTGACCTCATCTTCCCCATTCTTGCCTGACTCCATTGGCTCCCTATCCTTCAGAGGATCCAGTTCAAGACGTGAAAGGCTCCCAACGTGAAAGGCGCCAAACAAATGTAAACTTGTTGTTGTTATTGTTATCTTATAAAATAGGGAAATTCCACTGCATCTTATCGTCAAATCTCATTCCGGGGACATGCACAAGAATATCACAGTACAACAAGGCAGAGATACTGAGAATACAGAATACAGACAAAAAATGTTACACCCAAAGAAGGTGCAGATAGTGAGAAGACGAGAAAACTGAGGTTTCCAACACGGTACAGTCGGGGAATTCTCTACACAGATAATGATCAGGAAGATTAAAAGCAGGAAGTTATATTTGATCTATCATGTCTATCAAGTGTCTATCATGTTAAAGCATCTCAGCAAACACACTGGAATGTGTATTGACTTATTTTGCAGGAAACAAGGCTACTGTTTTGTGTACAACAATGTCCCAGAAGCAACAATGACCAATTGATCTGGAGGATCAATATGGAGAAAAACTCCCTTCTCTTTGTTGGCTGGAAGAAATGTCTTTTTCTTTTCAAATATCACCATGGGAATGCCAACCTGAAGAACTAGTAATCTAATAATAATAATAATCCTTGCATTAAACTAAAACTGTTTCAATTTCTACCAAAATACTATTTATACTACTAATACAAAATACTAACAAACACTACTACTGTTCCATGTGTATACAGACAGCAGTGTAATAATAATCCTTGCATTTGATATAGAGCCTTATCATGTCTTCGAGATGTCTCGAAGCGCTTCACAGAATATAATGTAAAGTGAATTGACTATATATTTTATGGGCAAAACGCGGCAGCCAATTGCACACAGCAGTGTCCCACAAACGGTCAAGGATTGAGTAACCAAATTCTCACTATTATTATTTTTTGAAGGGATTATTACCCCCAGAAAAGCATTCTGCCAATTGACCAACAATCGAGTTCTAACTTTCTGCTAGGTAAACAGGTGTGTGGAATAAGGACTAGTGGACGAGTATTAGCATTTCAACATCTCCAACATTGCAGTCCCCCAGTATTGCACTGGAATGATTAGTCGATATGTCAAGTCAAGTCCCCAAATGAGGCTTGAATTCACACTTTCTAACCTAGAGTCGAAAGTGTTAGCAATTGACCTATGTTGATAACTAAGGAACAAGATGTACCTTTTTTCTTTCCATCATCTTTCCCAACATCCTCCTAACGTGAAAGGCTCTGAATAAATATAAATTTGTATTGTATTAAATCCAGGATTGTAAGGGACTATCAAACCCGTCAGGCCATCAAACTGAAGAACCATCAAAATAAAATACCAAGAGGCCATCAAACAAAAGAGAATAAGATATCATCAAATCCAAGATAGTAAGGTATCAATAAACTAGGGTAATAAGGGCCCAGTAAATATAAAATGCAAGTTATGGTAGGTTCAGTTGATGGCATTCTCAGCTCTGTCAAAAGACTGTGGGTTCAAGCCCCACATGGGGACTTCAAACTCATATAGTGTAGGCTGACAATCCAGTGCAATGCTGGGGTTGCGCTGCATTGTTGGAGATGCCAACTTTAGGTTAGACATTAAAAATCAAGGTTCCGTCTGCCTGTTCAGGTGGAGGTCAAAGAACCCATGGGACTATTTGAAAAGAGGAGGGAATTTCTTCAGGTGTCCTGGCCAACATTCCTCCAAATAAAATTGGTTATTCACTTTTTGGCTGGCTGTGGGAAACCGCTATGTGCAAATTAACTGTGGTGTTCATCGATAAAATACACTTACACTACACTTCATCCTGTAAAATGCTTTGAGATATTTTCTCAACCAATTCAAGATTCATTTTTTATTTGTTTGATCTCTTTCGAACACTGTACCTACCATCCAGACCATCATGTATGAAAAAACGGCAATCCACAGGGTCGACGAGATGAACGTGACCATAAACCACTTCTCCCAGCGAGGCTTGCTGCAGTTTGGAATGGTGAAGTACAACAAAATGCACAGCGGCCATGCAACTGCCCACTTTCCTATATGCAATATTCCCTCTGCAGAGACAGAAAAATAAAGATACAAGGGTAATTTAATTTTGTAATGTTACACAAAATCCATCGCGAGATCTACCGCTTTGACTGCGCTTTCGGTCCAACCCCTTGGCCATCCCCAGCCTGGGTGCCCAACCAGCTCGGTTAAACTCCCTTGAGATGTCCTCCTGACATTTTTCTTGGTCAGCTGGATGTATGACACAAGTGGAACCCATCACCGTGCTTAAGAGCATCTAAACCAAACCATGGATCCCACCTACACATGGAAATTCCAGAAATATTTGTTGGAATGTGCACTCTCTCTGGTGGGATGCATCCTGATTACCCAATTCCGGAAAATATCAGGCGCAGGTAGGCAAGAGCCAAGGCTTGGGGACCTCAGAGTGTGCATTGGGGGTACTGCTGGAATCTATCCAACCAAAACCGCTTAGCTTGTCATTGATATTGCTGCCTGGCAAGCTTTCCTGCTAGGACCACCATACACGTTAAGGTTTTGGCTTGCAGGGATAACGGGAACTGAGTGGCAATCCCTGCCCCCTATGACTTGTCTCCTCTTGTAAGTCCTGTTGATGAGCCAGACTGGCTGTGCTGTCATCAACAATGGATTATTGTGGATCCACCTGGCTCAGGAATTGAACTGCCGAGACTGCCATAGAGGTGCACTCAATTTTAATATTCCAATGTGAAACATGTCACCTTACAGCCAGTTCAGCTCCAGGGCCTGCTCGTATCTCCAGCCCCAAGATGGTTAGTCACAAGTTGGTCACTTGACATCCAACAAGCATGGGTTTGAGCCTTCACTAGGTGGATGGTAGGTACCAGGAACTCCCTGCTAGCTTCCTGGTGAGCAACACAGCTCAGTGTGAAATGCACCAGAGCAGTGGTACCATTTTCCTGTCCGCAGCTTAGACACATATGCCGTCCCATTGAGCAATGGTTCCACCAGTTGGAGGTGTGGATCTTAACAACAGCTGCTTACCTCTCTGCAAGCCAATCAGGGTGGATACCAGATGCTGGATTGCAAATACATGTTTAAGAACTCGGACTCCAGGTAATGCCTTTCAGCAGCTGTTGCTTCAAGCCTCAGAGTTTCCTCATCAGCTATCTGGCGAACATCTGCCTTCAGTGTGGTGGAGGACCTTTACAGGACAGCTCATGACATGCTAGTTATCTTGATGAAAGGCGCGATACAAAATGTAAATGTGTATTGTGTTGTAAGAGATACACTGAGGGACTCTGCAGATAATCCATATGATTGATAATTTCCCTCACTAACTCAGTAATATTTAGGCTAATTGTAGCTCCCCTATAACTGCCCAGATTGAGATTAGCTAACTCAGCGCATCTTGGTGGTCAAACTTGGAGCATGTCTTGGCATTGTGGCTAAGTTTCACATGGGACAAAAGTGAATTTTACCAACGAAGCTCAATTTCTTTCAAGCAGTAATTGTCTGATATTTGCACGCGATGCTGAAATAACTGCAGCAACGGGGAAACGAAACTCATCAGAAAACCCCACATGGGTCAACTTCACCACGCAGCAATTTATATTGTTTGTCTACATAATACATGACGCATCCATTTGGAAGCCCCTATCGTATCTTGGTAACGTGCAATCCAGATGTTGTTTCAACTTTAATAATAATTATTATTATTATTGCATTTGGTATAATGCCTTTCATGTTGGGAGGATGTCCCAAAGCATCCCGGTTTTTGGAAGTGTTGTGAATTTTGCAAATTAAACTGCTTTCCAAATCCACAAGCAGAAGTTTAATTTTGTGCTTTCAATCCTGTTTGCAAGTAGACGACACCCACCCACCCCCTCCCCCACCATCTGCCCCAAACATCAAACTTGTGAAAAAAGCTCTGTCTGATTTTACTTCTCACTCTTAACTTCCTTATTTGTAACTTGTGTTCCTGCTGTTTAAACACTTTACCACAATGAATATGTTGCCTGAATTATCCTTATCAAGTCTATTCATAATCTGGAAATTTCAATTAGGTCATTGCACATGATTCCATTCTCAGAAGTCAACAGATCTAACTTGATTAACCTTTTCTCACAACTCAACATTTCCAATATCTGAAGTCATCTAGTTACTTGGCTTCGTACTTTTTCTGAGGAATTAATCTATTTTCAAGGTTTGGGTGACCTTATAAAGCTTTCAAAAGAGAACATCTTTTTAAAGGCTGCCGGGAGCCCAGCCATCAATATCACGATTCCATTCTATGAAATCAACAGATCTGACTTCATTAAACCTTTCTCACAACATTCTGTGCCATCAGAGACATAAAACATGGACTAGAGAAAACAGAGCGCATATAGTTAGACTCAAATCGAATCACCATAGGCCCATCTACCAACATATACCTATCCCTCTCTAGTCCAATTCAGTAATGCTAATATTAAGGTCTAATTTGCTGTATTCAGTGGGATTCCTTAATCCAAGCAGCACAAATGGGGATTCTGGGTAACTGGATGTACATCGCATTGACCTGTCGGTAAGTAGATCTCGTCAGAGTGAAGTTCCCATGGGCTGGCGGGAATTCTAATGTAGATTCTGTATTTTGGAACCAGAAATGGGTTCCCTTGTCAAAAAAGGAACAATTTTAGATGATTCAGGGATAGACGCAGCCTGAGACAAACAAATGCATCACAGAACACTGTGATTTTAATGGTGACCTGGGCAATGGGGTGGAGAAGGCCAGGATTAAACAGTGAAGGTGTGAACAATAGTGAAGTATTTTTCGGATGCAACACTTTATCCCAATAAATAGATCACAGTGGGTACATCTTCCATAGGTTTTGGATGAAGCAGGCTCGAGGGGCTGAACAGAATGGCCTTTTCTCACCCTTGCTCTCTTCTGTTCTGTGCAGACCACACAGCATCCAGAAGCCAGGACATGAGGCAGCAGCAGAGGGCACAAGATTCAAAGCGAACATATCTCTGAGAGCTGTCAAACATACTGCACAGGCCTCACAAGGTGAAGACTATTTAATGAATAGAACAGCAGAGGGAGCTCCAAAGCAGTGAGCTGTCAAGTGCTTCTCCACAAACCTTTACAACAGTAGTTTCAAATGTAATCAGGCATAATCCACGTTCAAGCACAGTGCACAACTTTATCCAGAGACAAAGCAGCTTTGTGTCCCAATAAAGCAAATAAGGTAAAAGAACCACACACCCCACCCAACACACTTCCTGGTAAAGTCACCTGCAAAATGCACGCAGTCACAAAAACTTTACAGTGAATCCTGTGAAGCGCTTTGAGATGTCTCGCCGACGTAATAAGGTGCTATATCAAATGAAAGGATTTTTAAAATTAAACTCACTTGGTAAGTGAAATGGAACATAAAGCTCATTGTTCACCTCCTCCTCCTCCTCTTCCTCGTCATTCTCGTTGTTGTCGTTATCCTCATTCTCATTCTCAGTCTCGTTCCCAGTCTCGGTCCGGTCATCGTCCTTGTTCTGGCAGTTTACACCTCTCTCGGAGGAGGAGCAGCTTGGTCCGGTTCCATTCTCAATGTTGTGCTTGCCTGGGATTTTAATGGAGACCTCGGGCTCTCCATTGGATACGTTTTTGCTGCTTATGAGTCGTTGTCTCTGGAACAGAGAAGCGAAGTCAAGCTGCCTGCACCATTGTCTGGATGGAGGTCAGAGGAAAACACTCATATGAAAACAAAGATCTGCTTTCATTAGATAACCAGCTTCATCAGTGACTTCAGGGACAGGATAAAGTTGCACAGTGTGTGCTCAAGTGTTAACCTACGACACGAATCAGGGCAGGACTGGCCCAGGATTGACCACATCCATCAGTTGACACTGCTTGTGAGGGACTCAGGAGCAGGCACCGCCGATGGAGGTGGGAATCAGGATCAGGTTGTGGTGGAGGAGGAGGGAGTTGGCAAGACCAGGCAGCTGTTGTACCTTTACCTGTCAGCTTCGTTTGTGGGATGGGGTGGGGGGCACTTATATGTTAAATCCATTTGTTTTGCTCTCTCTTGGTGAAGGATGCGTACTGTTACATACCTCATTTATGATAATGCGGCTGGCCATGCTCAGTCTGGTTTTGGGTCCAAAATGGCTAGTCATCATGATCCTGAGACTGGCCTCGGGGAAGGAGAGCTGATGCGGATACGCTGAAAGAAGCTCATCTACCATCAGCACGCTGGAGTTACGGCAGAAGTTGGCTGTCGAGAGAGAGAATGCAAATTGTTACAGGGACTTGCGCTCAGGTTAGGCTGACAGTCCTAAGGAACAAAGCCTGAGGTATGGAGAAAATGTCTCCATCCTTCAGAGGAGACATTGAACGGTCTGCCTGCTCTTCAATTGAACATTTACAATCCCACGACATGTTTTGAAAAGAAGAGTTTCTCCTGGTGTCCTGGCCAATAACCCGCCAGATTAATCTTCATTTCAGATAAATCGTCGTTCACTTCCCAGGCTGTTTGCAGGAATTTGGTGCAAACGGCTTTTGTGTTTGTCGTATGAAATCATTATTGACGAGTGATTACAGTAGAACCCGTTATAAGGTAGTAGTTGGGATACATAAAATTTCAACCAGCCTTATAATACTACAAAATAATAATCCTTCACTCTATGGCTGTTTGTGGGACATTTGCTGCGTGCCAACCGGCTGCTGCGTTCGCCCAGGAAACAGTCACCACACTTTATAATATATCCTGTGGGTCGTTCTCCTGACGTGAAAGGCGTTATACCAAATGTAAAGACTATTCTTATTATAGTGCCTTCACCACACTATAAATTGTAGCAACTGTATGTTTTGTGGGCGATGAGACGCAATCACCGGTCACTGCATCTGCATCATCACATGACCAGTGACATCCCTGAGCGAACTCGATCTTCTCGTGTACTAAACATGGGCTGCCTTTCAGGTGCCCAAGTCATGGCCAACATTACAGAGAGCATATGCTGGATGCAGAAAGTGACGACAACAACAACAACAAAATTACATCAGGAGGACGTCCCAAGTCGCTGGACAATCAGTGTTTTGGACCTGAGCTGAGTGTCGGGATCGGGGAGGGTGGGGAGCAGAGGGGGAATGAGGGTGAACAAAGGTACAGTCGAAGAGGAGGATCTTGAGACATATCTGGAAGGAGGCAAGGGAGGGGGCAGGATGGAGTTCCAGAGTGTGGAGGCAGTGGCTGAAGGTCTGCCCGGACGTGAAATAGGCTGGAGCCCGCTGAGCAGAGGGAGCGAGCAGGTTGGTGGGGGTTAATAGGTCGCAGAGATAGGGGGAGCAAGATCATGGAGTGCATTGAAATTGAGGACCAGGATCTTGAACTGTATCCTCTGTGTGATGGGAAGCCAGTGGAGTTGGGCGAGGATGGGGGTGATCGGGTTGCGGAGCCTGGTGTGGGAGAGGAACACAGGCTGCAGAGTTCTGGATGATCTGCAGCCTGTGGAGGGAGGAGTTGGGGAGGCCGACAAGCAGGGAGTTTGAGTAGTCGAGCCTGGATGTTATGAATGCGTGTACGAGGGTCTCGGCGGGCTGCGGTGTGAGACAGTGGCTGAGATGAGTGATGTTGTGGAGTTGGGGAAAGGGGGAGAGGTTCATGGCACGGATGTTGGGTATGAAGGACAGTTGAGGGTCGAACAGGACCTCAAATTTCCGTACTGGCTCCGTGAGTTGTAGAGTGCATCCATGGAGGGAGATGCCGTCAGTGCCTGAAGTATGGAGGGGATGATGGAAGCCAAGCAGGAGGGCCTTGTTGACATTCAACCGCAACAAGTTAGCTCTCATCCAAGACGATGTCCAACAAGCATTCTGTGAGGACAGCAGTGGTCCTGGAATCGAGGGTGGAGGCAGAGAGGTAGAGTTGGGTGTCATTCGCATACATGTGGAAGTTGAGCCCATGTCTGCGGATGATGTCACCAAGAGGGAGCATATAGATATTGAAAAGGAGAGAGACAAGGACAGAGCCCTGAGGGACGTCACAGTGCAGGGGCTGAAAGTGACAGTGGAGGTGATCTGATAACCTGGAAGTCAGTCATTTTTTAGCACATGGGGAACCAGATGTGGGTTCAAACCAATGGCGTATCCACAGGAGTTTCAATGCACTATGAAAATATTCAACGTCACTGAGGGAATGGATCACAGTGCCCCCTACAGGGAATGGGAACAACAAATTACATTTGTATAGGACCTTTCACGTTGAAAGGCGCTGACACACTGACCTGACCCACACATCGATGTATGTGTGAAGTATCTGTGCTGACAAATCAGTAAATTGTTAACTCACAAACTCAGATTTTAAGTGAAAACATATCATAATATCCCAAATCCAAGTTGATATGTTCGGTATTCGGCTGTCACTCTTGCTCCATCTATAGACAGTGTTACTTGGGAGTCATAGAAATCGTAGGTTTGAATCCTAATCTTTGTTTTAAATGACCTCAGCTGAGGCAGCAGTTGGGGAATTGCAATTGCCATGAACTTTCCTGGGTTAGGTAAGGGTTTCTACTTGTGATGACTATCCAAGGACCACCGCTGGAATGTGGCAATGTCAACAACAAAAGTTTGCAACCAGCATAGTATCTCATGCAAGATAGTATTAGGCTCCATTACAAAATGTACCCAGTCAACTAGTCACCGTTGAGGCTTTTACATGAATGAATGTTACTTTAGTGGGTAATTGAGTGGTGGAACTGTACACCAGTAGAAGACAGTAACCTGCTAAGGAAGGCAACTTGCACTTCAAAATAGATTAGTACTTTCAAGAGAGGAGAGCGAAATGTAATGGAGAAACTACAAACTTCTTTCCAGAAAAGGCCTTCATTCTGTCCTGAATCCTGTGACCAAAAAGTGTTTTATCAGATTAGTTTGTCTACAGTCTTATTGAGTTCACATTCATGAGTTCACATTTATTGACATTCACATTCATTGATCCAAGTATCTGTGTAGTAATACAAACAGAAATACAGCATCACACAGAAGCAATCAATAGGATCAGGGCTGGTTGAAATACTGTCCATGGGGTGTTGCCATTTACTGACACAACAGCAACAGATCACTAAATACTTCTAAGTAAAGGCATCACAGCTGGCTTTAACATTTATGGATATTTTGCCTAAGACAGAATGGTTAAACTCGCTTCTTAGAACAACATTAACGGAGCTAACATTGAGGGGAGTCAGCGCAATGGAGGGACATACAGCTGCCAGATACGTTAAAAGCACTGAAGAGTGTTGCAGAATCTCCTGATGGTTCATTTGGTACATACAACTCTTGAAGACTTAAATTCTGGTTCTCGATATGTGAAGGGACTTTGAGGATGTACGATTACAAAGAGGAAAATCCTGTTTCAAGCTATCATCGTCAATAGGAAGTTCCAAAAGGATTTTCAGACCTCGGGTGTGATCCTGATTCACAAAGACCCTAGAGGGTTTTAGGTTTGATCCTGTTTCTGTGGTGAGTTAGCTGCTCTGCCATGGCAGCAGTGTGGAGGAGTTTTACCTTTGGTCAGTTTCGTCCCTACAGGAGATTGCGCTGGCTAGGTATTGCTCATGATAGAGCCTATTGTACCTGATCTGAGGAAGGAACAAAAATACTCAAGGAGAAAAGCATTTGTTTTTATTTTTTATAACTTTTTGCACTTATGCCCTTGAGTGCATCTAACACTACAGTACTTCCACAGCACTGCATTGGGAGTGTTGTCTGGACGATGATTATCATCCCTCTTGTATAAAAAAATCCGGTGATAATCCTCAATTTATGCCATCTTTGTTACTGACTCGTCATCTAGGTGTTGACAGCAGAAATTATTAGATATTGCCTTACCTAAACCAATCATAGTTTTGAAATCCTTCATTACAATTTGCCTTCACCTCCCCTGCTCCTTCTAGATCAATCCCATCTTTTCATGTATTTCCACATAACTACCCTTATCCCTGGTATCAACCCAGCAGTTTTCAGCTGTGTATTTTCACAGTATTCTGTTTTAATTTCACAATTCCAGCATTTTCATTTGTGTCTTTTTATTTCTAAACACTGAGGTTGCCTCTGTGTTAACTGCTGCCAGACGTTGTCTCAGCTAATACAAATAATAAATAATAATAATCCTTGCATTTGAAGAAGCGCTTTTCACGTCTTCTAGACGTCTCAAAGCACTTCACAAAATTTACTGTAAAGTGAAATGACTGTATATTTGTGGGCGAAACGCGGCAGCCAATTGCGCACAACAGCGTCCCACAAACAGTCGTGGATTGAAGTGGCCAATTTTATGATTGTTTTGTTTTGAGGGATTATTATCAGGCGTGTGGAGTAAAGAAACTTGCCCAAGGTTTCACTCTGCCGGGAATCGAACCCAAGTCTCTCGTTTGCAAGGCAAGTGCTCTAACCACTGAGCTACAGGGCACCAAGTACAACAATACATACAACAATAACTTGCATTTATAGAGCAGCCTTCATGTGTCCTTGAGTGCTTGACAGTGGCAGAATCTGACGCTGAGCTAAGGGGAGAGGTGACCATAAACATAATCAAAAATGAAGGACTTTAGGCGGGATTTGAAGGTAGGGAGGGAGGGGGCAAAGTGGAAGGACTGAGAGAGAGAGTTCCAGAATTTCGGGGCATAGTGGCTGAAGGCACGGCCACCGATGGCGGAGCAGAGGGGACGAGGGACAAACTGAAGGCTGGAGATGGCCGAGTGGAGTCAGTGGGTGGTGGTAAGCATGGAAAGGTAGGGAGGTTTGAGGGCAAGAAGGGATTTGAAAACGAGTGAGCGTATCTTGAAATCAATCCGTTGGCAATATGAGTAACCTTTAAAGACCGGAGGCGTAATATTTTGTGATTTGCGATAATGTCAGACGCAGTGGAAAACTGGCTTAAGAAAGAACTTACATTTTTATTGCTCCTTATTAGGTTCAAATGTCTCAGAATCCCTCACAAGTAATGACTCGTCGAATGCTTTAGCATTTTTTGCAGTCAAACATGGTGAATGATTGTACCAATAAGATCCCACAAATAGAATCATAGAATTATACAGCACAGAAGGAGCCCGTGTGATGTTTCCCCAGTAATGCACTGGAGGGTCAACCTAGTGACTTAGACATGGAGCTTGAATCCACAACCTTCTGACTCAAGAGGTGAGAGTTCTACCCTCAGAGCCAGACTGGCTAATAATAAAAAGTAAATGATACGTCTAATATTCCATCACTGTGAAATGAGCAAAGGGGCTTCTAAAGGCAACGCAACAATGCAGTGAGGAGGGTCCTACCTTTCTTTAGTAAAACGACAGTCGCATCACAGTTGCTGTTGTCATCCATTTCAGTGTTATTTGCATTCCCATTCGCCATGTTCACTGAACTCTTCTTCCATTTACTCTCAAAGAAGTTCTGTAATGAGGTGTTGAATCTGTTTTGCCCCCCACCCCGACAAGAGGATTCATTAGCAAAAGTGGAAACAACTTCTTAAAACATATTTATAATTATCATTAAACATAAGAAACTTAAATTGCAGACAAGTGCAGGTTCATGTTTACCTCAGTCCATGTACATTTAAGTATATGATCAGTGTCATTTTGTAACAATGCAGGGTTTGCCCCGAGCCAGGGAGAGAGGAGAGGTGACCATAGGCACAGTTAAAGAGGTCTGCAGGTGTAATCTGAAGATGGGTAAGGAGAGGCGGAGGCAGAGGGATTGAAGTCGAGAGTTCCATAGACTCAGGGCATAGTGGCTGAAAACACAGCTGCCGATGGTTGGAGCGAGGGGATGAAGGATGTGCAGGAGGTCAGAGTCCGCTAGAGAAAGGGGGAGTGGAGGAGTAGGGGTTAAACAGGTTGGAGAGGTAGGGAGGTGGAGGGCACGAAGTAATTTGTACGTGAGGGTGAGGACCTTAAAACCAATCTGTTCTGCAATAGATTGGATAAAGTTGGGCAGAGCAGAGAGAACTTTATTTTGCATTGAACTCCGGTATATCTGACCTGGTGGTGCATGCTGCTCATGTCTGTAATGAGAAAGTGTTCCATTTGCCAGCACTGGCATCTCTTACCTTGACAAATATTAATATTCACCCACCCCCACATCCACCAACCTCACCACCACCACCAGAAAAGAACCTTAACCTTGAACTATGCACTCACTTCATGATGAAGATGTAGAATGAGTACATTATTATCAATATCGATGACTCCCACCTGCAAATAAAAACAATATAGAGACTTTAAAGGACACCGATACACAACATGGTGATGTAATACACAGTTTCATCAAATTAATTGGTCATGTCAATGATCCTTTATTTCTACCTAAGTGAATTGGATTTTGGAAATATTAAGTAGCTGAATTCTTAAAAAGAAATGTGTAATTACTGATTATTAAAAAATTTCTGAAGAATGAACTCATCAACAAGTTCTTTGTTCCTTCCCCAATGTGAACTGACAACATACTTCATGGTCATACAGAGGGCAGTGTAATATATAACATTGAACAATAACATCCAGAAAGTGCGTGTAGTTAAACAATAATGTACTCACCAAGAAACCTTATCATCCCAAATAACCTAGGAAGAAAAAGAGCATTCATTGACTCCCAAGATGTACTATTTCATAGCCTTTAAAAAGATTGATATCAACACTTGACATTGGGGGTCTAATATGTGACGCTTTATAACCAGAATTGTAAACAGTGATTCCATCTAGTAACCAAGAGGTCCATCAGGTTGATCAGTAGGAACTCAAGTAGATTGCATTGGAGTGGAGTTTCTTCATTAAACATTGTTCTTTTCATTCATTTATGCCCTTGGATATTTGGACGATTGTGGTCTTACTTTCCTCTCTCCATTCTCCTGCTAATTTTATTCCCTAATTTGATTAATATTTTCCTTCTAATGGGGTGCATTTGTTTATTTGTGGGATGTTGCCTGTGCAGGTTGGCATTATACTAAATAGAATCTTACTATTATTATGTACCAGTCGTATTATTTATTTCTGGACCAACATCCAAGAAACAGCCCATTGTGCTTTTGAGGTGGCTCTTGGCAGAGAAAAGACCAAAGAAGTCTGACAAATGATTAGAAAGCAAACCACTGGCCACAAATCAGCCTTTTGCTGGCTTTTTGAATGGTTGCATCTGCCTCTCCCCTATTTTTAAAGCAAATGTGGTAGCAAAACTCACAATTTGAGTCACAAACCAAAAATCAATCATAGTTCAGCAACTTTCCGTTTGTAAACACTGCATTTTCAACCCTAGACTTGTACAAATTCAACACCATTCAAAACTACAGATAAAACTCATTGATATTCTGCTACAAATAGACACATAAAAAGTGTGGAGACAGTGTGGGATAACAACTTGTCTTTTCACCCACAAAATATACAGTGAATTCACTTTACAGTAAATACACTTTGCTGTGAAGCGCTTTGAGACATCTCGAAGACGTGATAAGGCGCTAGATCAAATGCAAGGATTATTTAATCGTAGCAGCCCCAAAAACATCTTTCACACAAAAACAGCAATGTCTCATTTGTTCTTTTCTGGGATAGGGGTTAAGACATGTTAACTTGGAAAGATGACAAGGCCCTTAATCTCTGAATAACCTATTGTATGCCTCACCAGGAAGAAATTAGATGCTTAACGATGCTTAAATGTGGTGATAAGGTTCTATTACTGATGTTTGCTTTGTAGAACACGGTAATTCTGCTGAACAAATAAATGGCCGCCCATGTTAAAGTTAGGAAAAGTTTGAATGGTAAAAATAAAATTGCATTAAGAAAGAGAACAGTGAAATGAGTAACAAGAAATAAATGGGGGTAAATTAGGATGAGGAAAAGGTAAGCAATGATAGCAATGAGGAAAAGGCTACATTTCTTTGAAATAGCAGCAGTCATTAGGGTGGTCCCTATACATCCACCTGAATCACAAGAGAAATGGAACCTAAATCAATAGCACAATCACAAGAAAGTATAAATAACTCAATAAAAAAAGTATAAATTGAGGATTTGACCAGCAGATGAAAGGATGAGGGTAGGAGGGTGGCCGAATGCCCAAAGGAAGAACACAAACAAGAAATTTTATTTAGTTTTATTACCCATGTTAATTATGTTCATTTAAAGAGATTGACTGTTACAATTTATGTATTTTCCCCATCTTGTCTATCTTAACCAGTGGTAATATTTTGCTGTGAAAAGCACAATTTGCCTCAACACTTATCTAATGCTTTACTTTCCTGTGTTTCCACTTTTATAACAGGAAGATGATTAAATTGCAGGATATTTGCAGATATGCATCAGAAAATGTCATGTGTGGGCTAGGATTATTGGAAATATTAATAACCAGTATATAAAACCATATTAAAGCCCAGTTTCCAGCAGCAACAAAGGCAAGATTGACACAAGTCGCACAGAGAAAGAATAACCACTAGATGGCACACAAACCCTAAACATAATGTCAATCCTTCCATTTGATATTATGCCTTGTCAGATACAGCGCCTTATATACATATCAGATACAGTTAATAAAATTATGCCTGTCTCCCAAGCTTGGCGGGTTTGACATAACCAAATAGGGTGTATGGGAATCCAACAGCAATCTGATGTGGAACTGGTGATGCTCTGCTTGATGCAAGAGCAACCGAGAATCAACAACAACAAATATGCATAGACATAGAGCCTTTTACATCGGGAGAATGCCCAAGGCGTTGGACAGTCAAGGGTTTGCACTTGAGCTGGAGGCTGGATTCGGGAACTGTGGGGGCTAGACTTAGGAGAGGTGGGAGCCATCACCTTTGGTTCCAGAGCTCACAATTCAACGACTTGCACTGCGGCCAAGTCTGTGAACCTGTCTGGACAGACCAGGGAATGTTAGAGCAGCCTACTTTTGAGACTGTTAAGGACTGCACAGACGCAAACCCACATCAAAGATTGGGAGGAACAAGGCTGACAAGAAGAGGTCCCACAGAACACCCTCCCTCCTGATGAATGTGAAGAGTTTTGGCTTGATGAACTGAATACTCCTCCTCGCTCCCTTCCTTCCCTCCCCTCACCCTGACCATTTCCCCCCTGCTCGGGTCCTGACCCAACTGTCCAGCGCCTTGAGACGTCCTCCTGACGTGAAAGGCGCTCTATAAATGGAATCTTGTTACTGTTGTTGTTGTTGTTGAATGGCCTCCTCCTATTCTTTAACTTGTAAGATGCTATGAACAGTTGGAATGGGTTACCGGAACAGCTATTGAGGCCAGTACGCTGGACGTATTTAAGGGACAGCCTGATTTTGTAATAGGAAGACGGTAGAGGTTTCATAACCTAATCATTTAGGTTTCGTTGTTGCATTTAGATTTCAGTGTTAACAGAAAAAAGATACACCCTCATTTGTGACCCTTCTTCAATATTAAGAATTTCAAACCAGCCCAATATTCAGTCTCTGAGGTCACAAATGACCATCAGTCTGAATGTCAATTTCTGGGTTGCGTCACGAATATGCAGCAGATTAATCAGATTCTTTTAAATCAGTGGATAAATATCAAACTTAATTCTAAGTGGCTCCATCTAGCCATACAATAAAAATAAGACTGAATTTTAAAGCACTTTATTTTTCTCTTCCTCCCTCCCAAAGATATTGGTTTTCTTTCCCATCCAATGATGATACGGTACTTAGAGAACGCCATCCACCCTCCGGTTTTCCTAAGTCACGCCATTAGCCATTATTTATGTGTGAAGGTTGACAGTGAGTGTTGGCAGGTTATTTGACTGCAGGGAACATCACAGTCAAGTCCGATCCTCAACCAGTCATCGACTAATATCCACACGCACACACATACTGGATGGCAATCTGGAGTGGGATTTTGATTTTTCTCCTCCCTTATCTGGAGTGCAGAGACTAATTGTAACACTCCTATTGAAACCTGGGCTGAGGTCACACAATTCATCATGAACCGAGACCAAGTAACTTTCTGGTCTATGTGGCTCAGTTACTCATGAGATAAATTGGCCGAGCTTTAAAGCATTTTTAAATTGTAGCCAATGGTACAAAACAATGTAATTCTGATATTAATCCTGAAGGGCCAATGAACCATGGGATGATTTACAGCTGGAACTAAGCAAATTAAAAATTTGACACCCAATTACCGTTTTACTACTTAACTGTCGCCTATGTAAACGTTTTAAAACATTTCCCAAGTACATTTAGATGTGAGTTCCTCTCCCTTCTGTGTTCCTTTGACCTGATAGTGTTTAAATGTATTGGAGAAAATTAATTACCCTTTAATTTTTTTAAAATCTTACCATTAATCTTATATTTTCTTTTTTTAAAAGGAACAAGTTTTTATCATAGACTTACTCTTTGCATGGATGTTTTTGGTAAATGTTTGTGAATCTGAATATTCTGCTGTGCTACTAACTATAACAAGTCAACTTCCAAGAATGGAATAATGCTGACTCTGGCAAGGTAAAAAAAATCTTAAAGGGGAAGGAAAATCTGAAGGAAGCACTTACTGCTCATAATGCTTTCTTAGCTTTAAGAGGAACAATCTATTTGTGTTGAGGTCAAAACTGCAATGCAATGTGCAAATTATTTTAGGGAGAGTTCAATGTGTAATGAATAGTTGAGTCTAACTCTCTGACATACTGCTTAAATCTCAGTCGAAATACAATTTTGAAATACAAGCTCTGATATCCCAAGGATGCATGTGCTTGTGGCTGACAGTAAAGTAACAACACCAAAATTACATTTATAAAGCGCCTTTCACTCGGGAGGACGTCTCAAAGCCCTGGTTGTGGACAGACTGCTGGACATCGATAAGCTGCAGAACAGTCACTCATTCTAAGATTGGTCATGCTGTCCCAGACCTTCCAAACCATCTATCTTGAGTAGCTGCAATACATCACTGACCGAGAGCTGTTTGCAGAGATGACCCTGTATTAGACATAGCTGCAGTTAGAGCACTTTGAATAATTACCACAATGTGTATAAATCCCCATCAGGCAGTTGAATTCCTTATCTGGTAGTTGAACTAGCCCATTGGCACCCAATGCCCGTTGAAATCCACTATCCATTAGCACCCACGTCCCATTGCCATTCACTGCTCAGGCTAATTTTTGAAGGATGGCCATTTTCGTGAGAAATCAAACAGTTGCCATGATTGATGGAAACAGCCCGAAGTGCAAGGCATCGTCTTTAGCAGAGGAACACAATTGAATACACAGTCATGATGCTGCATCTCAGAATTTCAAGCATTCCCTCTTGGACTGTAAGTGAAGGCACTTACTGCAATATAACTGTCTGAAGTGTTTTAATGCCCAGTCAGGAAAAGTGGCCCAGTCATACCCTACTCACTTTCATGGAGAGTGAACTAAAACACTGGAAATATCTGAGCCACTTAGTTGCAAAATAAATCTCTTCAATTTGACTATGATTTATTTTGGTAAATCTCATTTTAAAAGGCTGTAAAGTGAAGAAATAATCTAATCGGGGAAGCAGTTAGGGCTGCGCTGTTCTGTGCATTGCATGCTAAGAATCGTTGATGTTCTCCGTTCAACAACAACAAAGTTACACTTGTATAGCGCTTTTCACATCGTGAGGATGTCCCAAGGCGTTGCATAATCAGTGTTTCGAACCTGAGCTGGGGGTTGGGGGCAGGAGGGGAAGGAGGGTGATCAAAGGCACGGTCGAAGAGGAAGGTCTTGAGATGGGTCTTGAAGGAGGCAAGGGAGGGGGCAAGGCAGAGGGACTGTGGGATGGAGTTCCAGAGGGTGGGGGCAAAGTGGCTGAAGGCCCCCCTGCCAATGATGGGGTGGGCGAAGTGGGCAGGTTCGTAGGGGGTTAGAAGGTCGCAGAAGTAGAGGGGAGCAAGGCCACGGAGGGCTTTGAAAGTGAGGACAAGGATCTTGAAGTGTGTCCTCCGTGAATAGGAAGCTAATGGGAGTTGGTCGAGGATGGGGGTGATAGGGTCGCAGAACCTGTTGCGGGAGAAGATATGGGCTGTAGAGTTCTGGATAATCTGCAGCCTATCGAGGGAGGAGTTGGGGAGGCCGACAAGTAGGGAGTTTGTGTAGTTGAGCCTGGATGTTATGAATGCATCTATGAGGGTCTCGGTGGTTTGCGGTGTGACAGTTGCCTGCGGTATGAGACAGTGGCGGAGCTGAGCGATGTTGCGGAGGTGGGGAAAGGCGGAGAGGTTCATGGCATGGATGTACGTTATGAAGGACAGTTGAGGGTCGAACAGGACACCGAAGTTCCATATTGGCTCTGTGAGATGTAGAGTGCATCCATGGAGGGAAATGCTGTCAGCGACCGAGATATGGAGAGGCTGACGGGAGCCAAGCAGGAGGGCCTCGGTCTTGTTGACATTCAATTGCAGGAAATTATCTCTCATCCAGGACTTGATGTTCAATGAGTTTCAAAAGCAAATGTGTCCCTGGGCACATGTAATTAGGTGCAAATGTAAATGTCCAGATACATGTAAATATGTGAAATAAATTGTACCATTAAAATGCATTTGTTATTCATAAGTGGACATGGACTAATAATCTGTAAAGCAAGCGGAATGAAGGGCAGTAGGTAGTCTTCGCCCACAAATATACAGTCAATTCACTTTACAGTGTGTTCTGTGAAGCGCTTTGGGACGTCCTCCCGACGTGTAAAGCGCAATATCAAATGCAAGGATTATTATTATTATTATTATTAGTCTACTTCAATAAGCTTGTGTTTAAATAAGAGAAGTATCTATATTATATGGCAAGGAAAACATGTTATTGGGTTTTGTGACAAAATAATCTAATCACAACACCCACTCAAATCGGCAAAATGGCAATTATATTCAAAACGTCTCGAATCAGGGGAGTAAACGACTAACACTTTCTGTTAGTCCGGCAGGAGGACAGCAGTGTAGCCAAATCCTGCATTCTAATTAAAACCAAACAACATATTACTGAAACCAAAAATGAACAAAGAGCTTGGATCTGATTTGCCCACTGAAGGACACCCTTAATCACATCCTCGCACCAACTATGCCGTCTACTATAAGCCCAGAACAGATTATGCGACTTGTTCCCCCCTCATTGTGTTAGATCTTTGGGTATTTTGCAGTATCATGCAAAAAAAACAGGCACTTAAATCTCTCCACTTGCCACTATACAAGTACATATTAATTAGTAAAACTCTTCAAATACATTTCAAGCTTAAGATTCAAATATATAATTGAATGCCACTGAAAACAGCACAGGCATAACGCTGCAACTCACAAACATACATCTTATCTCCACAGAGATCAAGTGCAATAAAGCAGAAGTCCAATCTAGTGTCAGTTTCATAAAGGAAGCTTTTAAGCTTACACTCTTTGAACGTGTAGTGGAGGCCAAACTGCTAAAAAAANGCCCAAAATAGTATTAAGTGCTTTACTTGTGTTATACTAGTAAAGCTCTAAGCAGAACCACCTAATACCACAGAATATCCGTGTTCCAGCCAAAATGTCATCAAGTAAGGGGTACAGTATATCAGTAATCCTGTCGCAAGGGAAAACAGTAGCATTTTAACAACAGACCTTAAAGTCAAATACTGGTGTGGATGGGATCCTACAACATCATCCATGCCCAAGAGCCAGAAGGAGGCCATTTCTGATTTGTCATGTAATTTTAATGTGCTGCTGTCATTGTTCTTTTCCATTCTATATCCACATGTCTATATACACACCTATTTACACGTCTATGTACGCTGTTTGTGGGACACTGCTGTATAATAATAATAATCCTTGCATTTCATTTAGCGCTTTTCACGTCGGGAGGACGTCCCAAAGCGCTTCACAGAACACACTGTAAAGTGAATTGACTGTACATTTGTGGGCAAACGCGGCAGCCAATTGCGCACAGCAATGTCCCACAAACAGTCGTAGATTAAAAATGACCAATTTTTTTTATTATTGTTTTTGGTTTTGAAGGGATTATTATTAGGCGTGTGGAGTAAGGAAACTTGCCCAAGGTTTCGCCCTGACCTGCCTGGAATTGAACTCAGGTCTCTCGCTTGCAAAGCGAGTGCTTTAACCACTGAGCTACAGGACTCCGAATGCAATTGGCTGCCGTGTATTGCCTACAAAATATATAGTCAATTCACTTTACAGTATATTCTGTGAAGCGCTTTGAGACATCTCGAAGACATGATGAGTCGCTATATCAAATGCAAGGATTATTATTATTACACCCACTGTCTATATACACATGGAATAGTTCTAGTATATAATGTTAGTATTTTGAATTAGTATTAATAATAGTGTTTTGGTAACAATTGAAACAGTTCTAGTTTATAATGACACTTGAGATCTTACACCAGAAGTGAAGAAATGAGGGGGAAAAATACTGCAGCTCAACACTGCTTCATCAGAAAGAGATGCTATGTCAGAGTGCTTAGAACTCAACAGGAAATAGCACCCTGGATTTACGGGCTAAATTTTTATTTCTTAACAGGGTTTCTCACCACTGAATCCGAGTTAGTCAAATAAGGATTCCTTTTTGTAACTGGACGTACATCCTTCCATTCTGCGGGAAAGTAGATTGTGTTGAAGTGGAGTTTCTGCGAGGTGCTGACACATACGATACAGTACTACACGCAATTTCCTCATTAAGCAATTCAATTAGAAACCACCACATATTGGACCACCAAAGGTCTGTCATTGGAGGAGTTAAGGGACGAGACATTAAGGAAGGGACATTTTTCACGCACAGCATTATTACAAAATGAAATGGTTTGGAGAAATCATAACACCATTGAGAACAGAACTGGATTGAGATTTGAAAAGGAAGAATGCAAAATGCTACAGTGAAAGAGCAAGGAATCATCGAGTAGTTATCTCCAGGGGAGGCTGCAGCACCAGCTTAGGTTTGAGGATCAATGATCTTCTGTGCTCCTATTTCTATTATTATATAAATCACTTCTTACAGGGAAAAAGCAATGGAATATGGGGAAGGAGGATGGATATGGGATTTGAATGAAAAGCTCAAGTGGGAGATAAGTTGCATGGCACAGATATGATGGGCTGAATGGCCTCCTTCTGTGCTGTAATTTCCACGATTCTTGAATTATGTTGCTTCTTGCCGTCTTTGTAAACTAGGTGGTGTTTAGCATTAAGACCACAGCCCTTTGGTGAGGCTTTCAATTAAAAACTAATTTTGCCTCATCTAAATGCAAATAAAACTAACAAAACAACAGTCTACTAGAAGCCTAATGCCCTGGGACCTGTTGCACCAAGTGACTGAGAGTTCAGTTCTCTGCTTTGATTGGCATTTGAAGCTCGCTGTTTTTATTAGGCCCGCTTCACTGCATTGTGATAGGCACAGCAGCAAGCTTACTCAATTCACTATCATCTGATGGTTCAGAATTGGCTTATATCACACAGCAAGCCACTCATCCAATCATAGCAAAAACAGTCCTTCACAAAACACTCCGAGGGCAGGCCTTCAGAAAATGCAACTAGTTTCCGTACATTTTGAAAAATGCATTGACATTAGAGAAATAAAGCTACTTAAACATCAGGAATGGCTTTATTGCTGCAACAATAAGACTGCAATTTGTTAAGACTATGGAACTTCTTCCCACAAATGTCTGTTGAATCACAGTTCACAACACTGAAAAAGGAATTGGATGAATACAGCAGAGCTCCTAGTCTCTTCAGGCTGACTATCCACAATGGATCCTGATGCGAAAGCCAGGTTTGTTTGGGATGTAAGGAATTTTTTTTTATTTGCGAGCATGAAATTGAGATACTCAGGATAGTATCGGAGCAGGAATTAGCAGCATGAAATACAAGATCCTGGTAAGTAAAGTTCAGAGAAAGAGAGAGAGACACACACACAAACACACACACACTTTTTTTAGGTCATCTATATGTCTGACACATGGCCCATCAAACATGCTTTACAGTATCCAAACCAGTGAAATTTCCACATAAGTATACCACCTACACATGGAAATTTCCCTGTATCTGGGATGGATTGCGCACTCACTCCCTGCTTACCTAATTCCAGGTATTATTAATCTTATTCACGAGATTATTTGTGTGCGTATGTAGAGAGAGAGAGAAAGAACGACAAACACACACACAAATAAGCTGATAAATACACTAATATTTATTTCCCCAGATGTGATTTTGTTTTGAATATTATAATCAGAAGAATAACAGGAGGTTAGAAATGTTTTTTTGTACAGAATAGGATAGATACTAGAGGAAAAGTAACATTGATGAATATTGGGAGGAGCAGGGGAATAGAATTAGATAGCTTCAGTGGGAGAGGTAGCACCAGCACAAATGTAACGAGCCAAATGGACTCCTTCTGTACTATAAAGTTTATATGATTTTATTAGAAATAGTTAGCAGCCTTACCAAGATGAGAGCAAACACCGACAATGTGTAGTAGGAGGAATCTCTGATCAATGACCACCATGTCAAGGGCACAACCTGCAAATAAAGAAGCAGGAGAAAACATTACTTAAAAAGGTGCCGAACTTACACACTGCAACTATAAAGTGGTTGTGAAGTAGGACAAGGTACTTCGATTTCTCAGGTCCCACAGTAGCCCATTCTCGTACTCTACAATGCATAATTGTATTCTCCTTCTGAACATTGTCTTTGAAGAGCCTTGTTACCCCAGGGCTGACATTTATTCCACTTGCAAAGATTTGCTGTTGGATTTGTGTTGACTCTCAAACATTACCAGGGTGTTTGCTGCTGATTAGTGGTTCCGGATACAAATCAGCAGCTGTCAATGAGCCATGTCTGAGTGGACATTGAAGACAGCAGGATTGATAGCTGTAGACTCATCGCAGGTCTTATCTCACAAGTTGCAGTCGGAAGAAACCTTTGAGGAGTCTAATGATCTGTTAACTAGACACAGAACTGAAGCAGAAAAACAGAGACCAGGGAAGCTCCATGCCTTAAGTGGAAAAATATCTTTATCTTAAACAATTTTCGACTTTATACATTGCTGATAGTAATTTCTGGTACTGGAGGCTATAACATTGATATACTGTGTGTATATATATTAGTGAAATAATGGAGAAACCCCAACTCACCCACAATCTTCTGACTCTAAGGCAAGAGTGCTACCAATGTATCAGCCTGTCACAGTAGAAAGTAGTACAAGTAAAGTTGGAACTAAATGCAGAACCATATTTAACTTTTTGAAAGAAATTGCGAATATGAACAGAAGAAAATGAAGTGATATCCTCTTTGCCAATTGTAAGCCATTACCATTTGATAGCTATTCATGCAAAATGTGTATTTAACCTTTTGAGGGGTTACAAAAAGGCTTCTTCTATTCTTTTCAAGGAATACGTCCGAACAATAGAAATTCTGCAAATGGGTTGTTTTCATCTTTATTCAAGCACTTTTTTCTTCCAGCGCATAAAAAAAAGCATTACATGAAGAAGTGTTTAGGGAGGCTGAGAGGTGCAGTGCTCAGCGTGGAGGTGATAAATGCAGTAGGAACAAACTGACAAAACGGAATAAATGTTTTCCGTGGATGGTTAATCTGCACCTCTGAGACTTGTTGTGGGAAGATTCTGTGTTATCTTACTTCAACGGCTTCCTGAAAGCATTTTCCTAAAAACATTGAAGACAGTTGAAATCAAAAGGCAAGCTTTCTGGGAAGATTGTAACCCCTTTTTATTCTCCCCGTCTCCTCTCTGGAACACATTGGAATTGTTGTGTTCTCCCTTCCCTCCCTCCCTCTCTCTCTTGGCATGTCCTGCTGATTCATTGAACCCTTTTGAATTCTGAGCTAGTTAAGTTGAACGATTTTCTCTCGTGCATAATTACAATAGGATTTTCATCTATTTGGACCACTTGTCTCTCTTACTGGATATAATTGAGGATTGTTTCTCTTTGCATGACCTTGTATGGTCTTCTAGGTTCTCACAGGACATCCTATTGAAGGGCTGTTAGCATGCAAAATGCCTTACCATACATGGCTGTTGTAGCCAAATCCAAACTGCATTTAAAAGGGAACTGGATAAATACCTAAAGGTATGGGGGACAGAGTGGGGGAAGGACATCAGAGAAGATGATGCGAGGGAGTTTAGCCTAGCAAATATCCAATGAGCCGAATGGCCCCCTTCTGTGCTGTAAACTTGTCATGATTTGATGAATGATTGAATTTGACGTCACTGCAGACAACCTGTCATTCCTGCCATGTTGGATATAAATCTTATGCTGTTCTTATATCTCATAGGGCTGTAGAGACTTGAATTATATGGTGGGGAGAAATTGACAGAGGGAGGTAGCAAAGGTCAAACAAGAAATTGTTTCAGTATCTATTGCTGACTGCCATTTTCTCTCTGACAAATGCATCTACCTCTCTCTCTTGGTCTCTGGGGAAGGTGTGTACAGGCCAGAAAGGGTAAAGTACAAAGCTGCCTATAAGGGCTGAAAATATGGCTGCCAGAGACCCAGGAGGCAGAGGGAAGCTCTCTCCCTGGAAGATTATCTTATGACTGCACTGCAGGAGATTTGTAAGGGGGTCTATCCAAAATAGCGGACAGAATTAATTGGTGCCACCAAGTGTCATGGGCAGGATATTTGGCAAGTGAAAGTTGTGTCACTTTGATAAAAGGCAAACCTCACCAACCAGAAACTGTAGACACCACCAGCTGTCATTCACTGTACAGTATTGCATTGTTTTTATTTCCCCATTCCCTCCTTCCCCTCTTCCCCATGCTTAATAATAATTTAATAATCCCTCCAAAAATAATATTAATAATAATTTGGTCACTCAATCCACGACTGTTTGTGGGACACTGCTGTGTCAATTGGCTGCTGCGTTTCGCCCACAAAATATACAGTCAATTCACTGTACAGCATTATCTGTAAAGCACTTTGAGACGTCTCGAAGACGTGATAAGGCGCTGTGTCAAAGGATTATCATTATTAGTCACAGTTCAGGTGACTCATAGGGATCTAGAACACGGGAGTCACAACCTGGATTTGCAAAGGATTGAACCTCGACCGTACTGTATGTTGCATCATCTCGACATATAGCAATGTGCACTACGCTGACCCAGGGGAATTCAGATGAGCCTTGAATTAAACTGCCTCAAAGAAGTCTACGCTGCTTTAGAAACACTTCTTTGAAACTGTCTACATCCAGGCTCAGTGTGTTCCCCCGGTCAGCTTGGCGCACTTCGGGCAGTATTTGATATTTACAAAATCCAGGCAAAACTTTACACTGTATCTGCAATCGCCTACAATCCTACTCCGCCAACTCCGCCTGCTTCCCCCGCACATTCCACCCCACTGTCGGCAGACAAGCTTTCAGCTGTTTTCTCGCTTTCTGGAACTCTCTTCTGACATCCCTCCGACTCCCTCCCTCTCTCTTTTCTTTCAAAAGCCACCCGAATATCTATCTTTTTGACCTGGTCTTTAGTCACCTCCCTTCCTCCCCATCTCCTCCCTCCCCACGGATCACGCTCGCACTCAAGTCTTTGTAAAGTGCTTTGAGACATTTTGCAATGTAAAAGGTGGCCATACAAATGCAGACTGTTGTTGTTTTGGTTGTTGTAACAAATACCAGATATCATTGCTCAACTATGGTTTCTGGATCTGCGTGAAGCCGTGTGCCATTTTCTACTGATTTAGTTCAGCCCCAGGCCTCTCCATCTATTTTATGTTCAGAGTAAATTAACAGTTAAATGTCAGCCTGGTCTTTCAGTTGAATTATGCAGGCTGCAGTTGAATTCATCAAAGGAACAATTCAATAACCTTTGCTCCATTGCATTCTTGCATTTGATGAATATTTGAAATGGAAGAAGTGGGAATTGTCATCTCCTTGGATTATTTCCTCAATAATCTATCCTGAAGAGAATGCATGAGAATACATGGTTCTGAGAATAATACAAGTCAACTAAAATATCCGTTTTTGCTCTGTAGAAACAGCTTTCGCCTGCTTTTACACAGCCACTACGCTTTATGGTAAAGCAACGCTTTGCGATGTTTCAACCACATGATAAGGGGGTCTGGTGCAGTGCTGGAGATGTGCTGCATTGTCCAAGGTGCCGACTTTCAGGTGAGATACTAAACCCAGCTGTTCAGGTGGACGTTAATAGGAGTTTCTCCCAGTGTTGTGGTCAGCAACTCCCCAGATAAAATTGGTCATTCACTTCATGGCTGCTCGTGGAATATTGCCGTGCGCAATGGGCAACCGATTGCCTGCAAATACACAGTCACTCTACTCCACAGTAAAATGTTGTGAAAGGTGCCATATCAAATCCAAGGATTATTATTAATATTATAACCCCTATATGTGGTAGTGGCTTAACTGTGTGGGAAGCAGGTCCAGTTCTTAGAGTGCTTAACCTATTTTGAATCATTCAAAGTTTACAGTGCAGAAAAAAAATTCAACCTATTGTGTATCTGCTGGTGTTAGCTCTTTTTGCCTTGCTCTTTCCTCATACCCTTTATTATTATGTTTAAATCAGGTATTTATCTAATACCATTTCAAATACTATAAATGGTTCTTAGCTTCAACAGCGATCAGTGGGCATTCCTTAAGAGAGGGCAATGCAGAAACAATAACGCCCAGGCTGTTTGTGGGACATTGCTGTGCACAAATTGGCTGCCTTATTCACCCACAAAACACACAGTTACACCAATTTACATACTTTACCACTGTGAAACGATTTGAGATGTTTTGATGACGTGATGAGGTCCTATATCAATTCCAAGGATTATTATTTCCAATTTCTGCCTCAACGACAAATAAAGACAGCAGCATTTTGGAATACTGCTGAATCCAAATGGAGTGAACTAAAGCCAACCTGAAAAAGCAGCAGCCAGTTTTGTACGTAAGTATTTCTCAATATGATTCAAACATCTATTTTTGGGGATTGGTTCTACAGCTGAATTCTCAGATGTGAGAAGTGCTATATATAATATATAATATTTATATATACAGTCTATAAATGTAAATTATATTGTATTGCACGGACAAGCTAACAGGGATGCCTGGCTTATGCAAATGCATCCCATACTTATTCCCCTGATCTGTATCTTTAAATACAGCCATAGTCCTGCCCTTTTATGGCCTTACGATCTAGGCAGTTGGCAAGCCCAGAGGCAGGTGCTCCAGAAAGGCTGGGAGGGAGATACCCTGACAACTCCTGTGCACCAGCTAGAGATCAGCTAACAATGGCATGCAGCACATAAATGGCTACCGCTTGCCAGCTGTTCCCATCCTCATGCTGTTAAAGCTTCCAGGCACAAAAATCCAAAGAATCCATATCTGCAGTGCGGTCGCTTTAAGAAAGCTCCGGACAGAATGTAACAGACTGTATGGCATCCGCTGAGTGCCGCCAAGGAGAGAGGAGCAGGAATCCACCAGGGAAATGACATCAATGGCAGCCAGACTCTCACTAACGTCAACAAAGGAGTGCCATGGTGTCCAAACCGATGGCCATAAATATACA